ACACATATATAGACATACATATAAATATGCACACATAAAAATATTTAGATAGATGCAACCAGAGACCTGATAGTTCATTTTAAAATTTTAGCCATGGAACAGGTACAGCAATGCAAAACTCATAAATTTAGATAACAGTTGGAATAAGTTTATCTGCTCAAATGGTTATTTAAGGCTTTTTATTATTCGTGGAGGAGGCTTTTACAATTTGTATTTGTCCCTGACAAACAAGGGAATGGGAAGACGTCAAGGAAACTGGGCTAGATTATGGGGGATGAAGGCTTTCTAGCAGTTTGTACTTTTTTTAAAGACCACTTTTTCTCTCCTTTATTTTCTGTGGTTTCAGGTTTTCCTGGTTGAGTTCATAGGGCTCAGTCTCAGGCAGTTGTGGGATGTTATTTTCTGAGGTGTTTGCATTTTAAAGACATGGTAAAATTTATGACTTCAAGGAAGAGAAGAAATGTGAGGGTCTTTTTTCCCCCCCTTCTAGGAGTTTAAGGTAATTGCTGTTTCAAATTTCCTTCCTTTAAGTACAAAATAATTGTACTTCTAATGTCCTGAATTTTATATCTGTAAATGTCTGAAGGTAAATAGGAAGGGGTCTGAGTTCACTTTGATTTCTGTTTTAATTTCTGTCCTTCCTTTTTATTAGGGAGTCTTAATGGCTAATCATCATATCAATATGAGAGCTCTCTAAATTTCTTTTCACAATTTAGAGGTTTCTGTAATTAATCTCAATAGTGACAAGCCAGTAAACCTTTTATGGCTTAACAAAAGCACAAGATATAGACAATTTACTCCTAGAGTTAGCCAAGAAATATCATGTTTTACCCACTTTGAACAGAATTGAGTTTTAGATTCTTTAAGCTGAGATCCACAGCGTATGCGGCTCTCTGCCAGGTATATGCATCTTCTAGCTGTAGGAAAAAGTAGACCAAAAAAAAAAAATCAATGACCATCTCTGGGAGGAAAAGAATCGATAGAAACAAGAGTACTCAAACCAATTTTTTATTAAAGTTGCTATGTCCAAGGAACTACTTTCACAAATATTTTCTCTTGCTAACCTAAATTTATTTTTTAAAGGTTGTATTTATTTATTTTTAGAGAGAGGGGAAGGAAGAAAGGGAGAGAAACATCCATGTGTGGTTGCCTCTCATGCGCCCCCTACTGGGGACCTAGACCAAAAACCAGGAACGTGTCCTGCACTGGGAATCAAACTGGTGGCCCTTGGTTTGCAGGCCAGCACTCAGTCCACTGAGCCACACCAGCCACGGCATGCTAACCTTAATTTAGAAAGAGAAAAAAAATACCATTTTCTTTTTAATAGCATCCACAGATAGAGGTTTTAGGAAGCTGATAAGGTAAGAAAAGCTTACCTGTTTGCTGGTTCTGTTGCCAGACACCCAGGACCTCTTAGCTGCAGTTGCCTCAGGAAAAACATCCAAAAACGATGTTCCCCTAGCTGGCATACCAAAACCACCAGGGAGGCAAAGAGTTCCTCCCCACCCCAACCCTTCTTTAGTTCTTATGGCTGGACTGGCAATAAAAAAATAAAATTAACACAAGACTAGATAAACAGGAGAAAAACCATTTTAATACGTGTGCACCAAAGAATCACAATACAATGCTCAGATCATAAAATGAAGGCCAGATAAATGATAGAACCAGGCACCTCTTTATACTTTTTAGACAACAGAAGAAAAAAATTGTGAGAAATTGACAGGGCAAAGAAAGTTAGTGCTCATTGGAATACAATATAAGCAAGATTTGGGTATTCCTTACTGAGAAATTTAAACAAAGTAGTGAATTAGAAAAGAGGAAGTAAGAGTTGATTATAGAGACTTTTTGGCTCTGAGTCGTTTAACTCTAGCAATACGGGAGTCTTCCAGGTGTGAGGTAGGACACCTTTCCCAGGGGACATTTATTTCCTGCATTCAGGGAGACAAGGGAGGGCCAGGGTGCCCTTCTGGTACTGCCTGCTGGTCAAATATTATTATTTTTGGTCAAGTAACTTTAATTCAAAATAATCACATGCCGCTGTGGGATGTATTAGGTCATTCAGTATTGGGCCCCAATGTATCCCTCTATTCTGATTTTACTAATGTATTATTTTCAGGAACTGAGTTGAATTTTCAGCATTTTTTTCTTTGACCTATTAAAATGATCAGTTATCATCACTACATATCCTGCTTCTGAACGAACTGTATATTTCTGGGGAAAACTCTACTTGATTATTGGTGTTATTATTTTGCCAGATTTGATTTGCTAACAGTTTAAGATGTTTGTATCTATATTAATATGGGAAACTGATGTGTCATTTTATTTTTTAGTACGGTGTTTGTTGGGTTTGATACCATTTTTACACTGGTCCCTAGAATTATAAATTTTCCTTTTTCCTTTCTGTATAAAATTTTATGTAGTTCAGGAATTATCTGCTCCTTGACGACTTGAATGAAAAGTCTGTGAGACCATCCAGCCCTTTGGGAGTGGGAGGGGAAGATAGATGTTTGGCAACATTTTCTTAAAGTAACACATGTATATGGTAACAATTTCAAACTGTATGAAGTGTTGTGCAACTGAATAGTTCTCCCTTGAAAATCAATAAATAGTCCCTCAGTTTCTTCCCCCAGAGGCAAACACTGTACCAGTTTCTTGTGTTGCCATTAGACATTGTCTGAAATATTCAAGCGTGTAAATATATACGAGGTGAGTACAAGTAGGTCTAGTTGTTCAATGAAAAAATATATAAGAATAAGCTCTTGTGTTCTGCATACTCATCACTGGAAATCTGCTTTTTCCCACCCTTCCCCTACATGGTGGCATACCATACAAACTGTTCTGTACTTTGCTTTTTATATATTTAAATTCTTTTCTTCAGAAATTGTGTTGTAATTAAATTCCCTACCTCATTTTGTTATTTACTGTTGTTCGATTACAGTTGTCCTCATTCCCCCCAATACTCTCCCTCACCCTACGCACCCCCACCTCCCACACTCAATCCTCCCCCACTCTGTTGTCTTTGTCCATGGGTCCCCATTTCTAAGTTAATTTTGATCACTTTTGAAGGAAACTGCCTGTTTTCACAGTATTTTCTGGTTGTTTTCATAGAGTTGTACACTATATTGTCCTGTAATTTAGAACTAGTAAAGTTCTCTGTACATTTCGGCCTAAATGTTAATCACACTTCCACCACTTACAAAGTTTCTAAGTAATTAATTCTGGGTAAATCATGAGAGTCCTGCTGTACCGTAAACACCCATAGCCTAACAGAGGGTAATGGCTGTAAGTGTATTGAAGAACACTGAGTTAGTCTGGCAATTCTGTGACATATATTTGCAACGAAAAATATAAAATAATTCCTATTTTAGGAGCTCATCCTGATACCACCCCCTTCCTCCACAACCTTCCATGCAGAGTTTCTTTCTTCATAGCATGTTACCTCACACCCAACCTGTACACTATTAGCTAAAGGAGGAAAACTGGCATTTTCAGTCTGAAACAACGCCTAGGTAACCTGAACACTGACTGCCTCCACTATTGTTTTATGGCCTGTACTCGTTTTCAACGAGCATCAAGGCCATCTAGAAGAGTGGCAGAGGCCAAGAGAAGAGGTTAGGTGGCAGAAGTTGGGGCTTGCAGTTAGGGAGAGATAACTAATTTTGGAGGTTGCCAAGGAAATGGAAGAGATTATCAGTGGCCTCAGGGAAGTGGGAAGGGACTTGGTAATCCGATAATAAGCGCTGAAAGTCCAGGGGGTGGGGGTGTCATTCAGGGTTGGGGGTGTCGTGGTGGGGTAGAGTGAGTATGGGAGGCTCAGGCTGGGACCTTGTACGTAATATTCTACTGTAATTTTAAAAGGCTTCGTATCTACTGGTCTAAATTTTATTATCACTCTCATCAGTATTTGCACAAGTACTGAAAATGTTCTTGGTCTGAAGGAGAATTTTAATATTTAAACAAAACCACACACGCACACACAATTCCATTAGTCGATTAACTCTGTCCCACCATATTCCAGATTCTTGCTCCTTAAGGTTACTACTTAGATGTTTTCCTGGATTGCTAATCCAGAAATGTAAAGTAGCTTATTTCACACTCATCTCCTATCCTGTTTTTTTTTCTTTTTTTTTTTAAGGTCGAAAACTGGTATCCATATCCTTAAAAGGCACTAGGTATCCCGAATACTGCTTAGTCAACACTGGATATATTGCCTGCCAGACCTCATGTTAGCCTGGGGTTGAGGTGAACTGGAGTCAAAAACACCTAGAAAACCCCGTGATCAGGTTGGGACACGCAGGGTTTGAAAAAGTTATTCTTACAATAATCACCCTCCTATAGACCTTGACCATTTTCAGTACTTGCCCCAAATCACTTAACAAGGTTGGAAGTTTGTAGTGGGATTAAAATTTTGCCCAGTGTTTATAGAGCTCTCACCTTCTTCTCAAAGGCGGTGAGGGAGAAAAATTATCCTGGAGATCGGTATGCAGACAGTCTACAAGTTTATGAAGTTCGAGAACCTGGGGAGAGGATAAGGAGCGGGATGAGGAGCACAGGGAATCGGCCGGGCAGGGGCTACAGCGGCGGGAGCAGTAGGTTAGGGAAGGTTTGAGTTCGGAAAGGTGAGACTTTTCCGCGGCCGGGGGCGGGGCAGCTGTTTCCATGGCGCTGTGCTGGGGACAGGGCATCCCGAGCCTACTCCTGAGAGGCGAGACCGGCGCGTAGGGGCGCGGGAGAGCACGCAGCCCCGGTCCGGAGACCTCAGACCGATCGGAGAATCCGGGTTAAGTGTGAAAGGGGGTGTGTGTCTGGTGGGACCAGTGCTCCCGAAGAAGCGAGGCGAGGAGACACAAACGTCTCCCCAACAGCCGGAGGACAAAAAGACAGCGAAGGGCCCGGCGAGTCAGCCGGGGATAGGCGCCGTTCGGTGACGCAGTGCTCCGGCGCTGACGCGCTGACGGCCCGGGACCTCCACGTCGTCTGTTCCGCAAAGGCCTGTGGGAGCGACCCAGCAGCAGGCGGGCCAAGATGGCGGAGGCGGCGGAGTCTCCAGGAGACCCGGGGACAGCATCGCCCAGGCCCCTGGTGAGCTGGGGATCTGCGACAGAAGGGACCGAGGGTGAGGCAGAGTGTCCCGTAAGGAAGTCGGGTGATGGGCTCGTGGTCTGAGAGAGCCAGAACCCCTTCCTTCCGCAGGCCCTTCCTGTACTCGATCCCAGAAGTAGTCCCAGAACTGCACCTGTTCTTAGGGCTAACCGCTTCTCCCCTCGCCCTCCTCGTCCCTTCCACGCGATCTTGTGAAATGTCCATTCACTTTCCTTCCCCATACTCTCAAACCTTGTCCTCACCCCCTACATTGTGTTAAGTGCCGAGCTTTAAGTAATTTCTTAAGTATGTTTGCTTCTGCCATCCCCTAATTTTACGAAGACCCGTTACTAACCGGTGTTGGAGTTGCAGTATTCTAGGGTTAATGAGAAATTGCAGCGTGGTAACTTGGTTATTGATTTGCGTGAGTCAAGTAATCTTGGTTTAGTCCCTGCCATCCTGTCGCAGCTCCTTGCAATCCTCTCCATGATGCTCTCTTCTGTTTGCACAGTGGATAGTATTTCTATTGCAAGTACAAGCCCAAAGCCTGGACAGCTAGTTCATAACATAGGTTTTGGAGTTAAACTTACCTGGATAGGAATCACCCACTCTGCTCCTTGTGTGAATTTGGGCAAGTCATTTCATGGAGAGTATTTCTTCATCTGTAAAATGGAGATAAAAAATACGTGCCTCAAAGAGTTTTTAGGAAGGTGAAATGGCATAATGTATGTAAAGTGTCTAATACAGTCAGTGTCATGAACTGAAGAGTGTAATTAAATCAACATTCTGCCTTTAAGTCCCTTATCCTAGACAGGGTTTAGTTATCTCCCACTGTTTAGTTATATAGCAGTTGTTCAATAAATGGTACATCCCATTCCTGTGTTTTAAATTGCCACCATAATAGAGGACTGAACTGGGAGTCAAGGAAATTGATTCTAGTCCTGGATCTGCTTACTAGCTTTGTTTGTTCATCTCTTCATTCAACAAGCATTTATTGAGCACCTAATATGTTCCAACCACTCTTAGGCACTGGGGATACAGCAACGAAAAAGCATGAGTAGGTCCAAGTTCTGATGGAGCATTTGTGACCCTGAGGAAGTCACTCAGAACCCATTTCCTCATTTGGAAAATGGGGATAGTAACTCATCACAAAATTAGAGTACTAAACAAGTTAATTATACACGTAATGCCTAGGGTGACATAGTTACAGGTGCCAAGCTGTTTTTAATTCTTGTTTTTCATTTAAAGTGCTCCATTGCTCTTTTAATGAAGCTTTCGTCAGCTATTGCAGTGGTCTGGTCACTCATTACTCAGTATTCAGTCTGCTTCTATTCAACAATGTTTATTGAATTCCGACAATGTGTAATGCACTGTGCTAGTTGCTTTAGGGACTACAAATGGCCTGCTCTTATGGTGCTTACAGTCTAACTTGTAGGGATAAGACAAATGTACATGTTAAAAGACGGCAGGAAACACTAAGAAAATTTAAAAAGAGATGCTCTAATGTCTAGTTGGGGTGATGAAGCACGCTACAGCATTTAGATTTAAGAGGGCCTCAAAGGATGGGTAAGATTTGAAATTACAGGTGAGCATAATAGTTATCAATGACTGAGTACCTGCTATGTGCCAGGATTGTGCTAAACATCCTCTGCATACCTTTTCTAAACTTCACAGCAGCCACTTCAGTAAGATGGATTTTAAACTGTTTTACTTGCAGATGAGATGACTTAGAATCGTTTGACAAGTTCCCATGGGTCTCATCAGCAGTTAGTGATCAGGCCTGAAATTTGAACCTAGGTGTGCTTCTGAAGCCCAGATGATTTCTAGTAGTGCTACACAGCCTCTTATCGGCAAAGGTACAGAGGTTGGAAGGTACTAATGTATTTCTAGAAAGAGGAGAAAGATCACTTTTGCTGAAGCACAGGGAAGTATTAGGAGGTGAGCCCTAAAAGATAAGGCTGTTGAATTAGGGAGACAGTATGGAACAATGGTTAGGAATATGAGCTCTGGGTTCAAACTGCCTAGGTTTGAGTCTGAGCTCTGTCCTTTAACTGGCTGTAGGGTATGGGGGAAATGACCAAACCCCTCCATGCCTCAGTTTTCCCATCTGTAAAATGGAGATATAGTAATACTTAAGTAATACAGGTTTTAGGTGAATTAAATGAATTAGCACATGTAAAACTTGGTGGAGTGCCTGGCACATAACCATGCAATAGGTGTGATTTCTTATTCACTACTAAGCTGGGAGGTTTAATAGGCAACGAGGAGCCCGTGGCAGTTTTTTGAGGAGGAAAGTGTTTAAAATCATGAATTTGACAATATAATAGAGGAAGGGTTATCATGGGGAGTATCTGGAATCTAGAAGGCCAGCGAAAACTGTTGCAGTAGTCCTAGGAAGAAGTGATAGCTGCCTGGACTACAGCACTGGCGGGAGGCATGAGGATTCGCGAAAGGCAGAGTCCTTGAGCGTTTTCAGTGCTTGGGAGAAAGAGTCTTAGATCAGTTCTACAAACTTTAGTGTGCATAGCAGGCATCTGAGGAATCATGGTAAATTGCAGATTCTGATTCAGTAGGTCCAGAATGAGGCCCAAGATTCTGCATTTCTAACAAGTTCCCAGGTGATGCTGTTGCTTTCAATCCATTTTGAAAAGCAAGGCGGTAGGCATACGGGAGGATAGTGGTGCCCCAAATAGAAATACATAAGCAGAGGATGAGGACCCTGAAAGTTAACTCCTTTTTGTACATGTTTACTTTGAGATATTGGCACGCCATCCAGTAGATATCCAGCAGGCAGTTGGACTCTAAAACCCGGATGTCAAGACTCAGAACAGGTCTGAGCTAGAGATATTAATGTATGAATCATCTGCATAGAGTGGGAAAGACGGAATCTTGGGTAATGCCTATCTCTTGCCTGTATATTTAGGGAGCAGGAAAAAGCTGTAATAATGACTTTAGCCTGGGGTCCATAAGAACACTGGTCCCGGGTAAAGGGACTAGCTAGAGCCATGCCACCAGCTGCCCCCACCCCACTTCTTGGAACGAGGCCTCTTGGACTGAGCTGGTTCCTGCTTGATGCTGCCCTCACCCCCGCCCTTGTTGATTCATTTCTCTCTCCAGGATTTTAGTCAGTAGTATAACCCGTCCGCTCCCAGCCACTTCTTAAAGTTACAGTACCTGCTTTTACTATGTGTTTTTGACCCTGTCTCTACCTGCTCTCCTTGTTGGCCCAGGCCAGGCTGCAAAGTGAGTACATGTGTTTCTGTGCACACATGTACATGTATGTGCACAAGCCTGCCTGCACAGAGGCAAGGGCAGGGTCATGGAGTCCAAGCCACCTTTCATTCCCACTGAGGGGCTCGTCAGCGAGTGGGGTCCACTAGCTGAGGGCCTGCACGCCCCGTCTATCTTACCTGGCGCTGGAGGGCCACAGATCCTGGCTCAGCTCAATGAACAATGTCACTAATTCTCTTGAGATATTGGGGAAGGGGTGGGATGGGGGATAGGGTGGGAATCACATGGCACTTTAGTGACTGCAGTGACTTCTGAAACCAGCTAGCTGAAGTTAGGTCAAACTTCACAGGTTAAGCCACAGTATCCACAACACTGTCCTCACTTTAGATACCAGCCACGGGTTCAGAGATTCCCAGAACCATCCTCACTTCTGACCTACTGGCTACAAATTTAGGGATACCCGTGCTCCCCTCAGGCTCCATAATTCACTAGAATGACTCACAGAACTCAGGACAGCACTGTATTTAAAATTACAGTGTTGTTATAGCAAAAGGAGACAGTTCAAACCAGCAAAAAGGGGAGATGCACAGGGTGAGGGTGGGAGGGGTCCTTAACACAAAGCTTCCTTGTCTTTTCCCTGGGGAGTCAGGACCCTGTTACTCTCCTGATACATCAAAGTGTGACAGGATGCAGAATATCGCCAACCAGAGTAGCTCAGCCCTGTAACTAGAGTTTTTCCTGGGGTTTCACTATGTAGGTGTGACTAACTGGATTATTGGCTCCTCCCACCCCGGAAGCCAGGTTTATGTCACATTCAAAAGCCGCAACCCTCTAAACTCGTGTTTGGTTTTTCTGGAGTGGTTAGTCCCCCATACTGAGTCGTCTCATTAGCATAAACTATCCAGAGGCCTACCGTGATCTCAGCTGTTAGCTAAATTCTTACGGCCCCCTATGAATAACAAAAATACCATCATTTGGGAAATTAAAAAGGTTTAGAGGCTCCCTCGCAGGAACGCAAGACAAAGGCTAGCCAAATTTTTTACTATACAATAGTGACATAACTGGAATTGACTCCCTGGGAATCTTGAACCTGAGTTAACATTTATCTAGCCCCTGCTGTGAGCCTGTTAAGTGCGTTACGTGTATTAATACATTTCTTCCTCACAACAACCCTGTGATGATGGTTCCCTTATTTCCGTTTTATAGATGAGGAAACTGAGGCACAGAGAAGTTAAAGAATCTGCTCATTGTCACACAAGTAGTAAATGGTGGAGCCGGGATTTTAACGCAGGCTTTCTGGCTCCAGGTGCTTGCACTCTCAAGCAGTGCTCTCCAAGGACAATATGTTGAGCATTCACTACGTGCCAGGTGTTAGGCAGGTGTTGTCTAATTCCTCTAGCAGTGTTTGCAGGTGAGGGCAGAGCCCTGTTTGTGTCTTCACAGCCCATTCCTTCCGTGCTGCCCTGCCTCCCCTCGCGGTAGTGAGCAGCAAGAAAATTCAAAACAAGCAGTCCTGGGTTTGAAAGGGTAGTGTCATAGTAGTGAAGAGAGCGGATGGGTTCAGAAAGGGGGTGGTGTACCATTAAGTGCTGCAGAATATTCAAAGAGGGTGAAACTGAGAAAGGATCCTTTTATTTCTTGATTAGGAGGTCACTAGCAGAGGGCAGTGTCAGTAAAGTTGTGGGAAAGCCAGGGGCAGATTGCAAAGGATGAAGTGAGGGGAAAAGGGAAGCAAGGAGGGCATTTTGAGGAAATGGCAGAAATAAGGA